TGTTTAAGGACTTTGTCCCAGACCAGAATATCTGGTCTGTTATGTGCCAATCCTTCGCTTGACCATATTGGGTCATTCCAGTGAATCACCACGTGAGGCGTTTCAATCACATGGGGCTGATATGAATTCACTTTTTCCCTGATCTCGTATTTACGCCTAATCGAAGCATACAAAACGCGGGCAACATCGTCATGGCGTTCCACCATGATATTAGTTCGCCAGTGGGCGCAGGAAGACACTATGTGCTCTGCTGTCTCCACGGCATCGGGGGAACAACGCATACGACAGAGCCCTCTAGCCGAAGCATTGCAGACTCTGCCAGCAGCGCTACCATTCGTAAGCAAAGAGCCCTCTTGCACAGACCAAACGTTCCTTAGGACTACTGATGAAACCCACCCTCTGGACGACCACAAGAATGAATCCTTGAGGCATAAACCAGTGGGCTGTTCCCTATTTCGTCCTTGCTCCTGTATGACACGACTAGCCACAGCCTTGCTTCTCCAAGCCGTCAGACGGACTTTCGCCCATCTGGCCCGAATCAGCTCGGCCACAGCACGCGCAGCATCAGTTGCATGGAAAAACGTGTTGTTATCTACCTTAATCGCAGCTATAGACGTCCTTTGGATCCTTCCTTCCTCAATTCCGTTGGCGCTAAGCACCTTCAGAAAATCCGAGGTCAGAGATCTCTTTTTACTTGAACGGAGGCTTTCCGAGAGCTGATAGGGGACTAGAAGATCAGTATTCGAGGCCAAGTAGCACCACGTGTAAGCGATGCTCCTATCTAGCTCCTCTTCAACCGACTTCAGGCCTAACCCTCCAGACTCTTTATCGACATAGAGCCGAGCCGCACAGTTAGTTCGGAATCTCAACCGAGAATCTTCCATAACCTTACGGATGTCAGCATCGAAACGGGATGCCCGTTTCTTTAAGGAACCTAGTTTGCCCGCTCCGAAAATCACGCAGGAAAACGCATATTTGAGCTTAGGGATCACCATTTGGTTGTACCCATTGACCTTCTGGCGAACCGTCAGATCGCTGAAGAACAACCTCCTGGCTAAAGCCAAAGCAGCAGTTTCAACGCGATTAAATAAGTCCCCGATACAAACTAGTCCATTTTGCTCAGCGCCCAGATATTTATAGAACTCATTGCTTCCAAGAATTGGTATACTGTCCAATTGAGCCGTGAAGGCCCAGTTTAGACTTCGTGAAGCACACTTACGTGTATTGAGTTCAAGACCAAGCTGTCCAAAGAGGCTTTGGATTCCAGTTCTGGCCAACGCCATATCTTCCCAGACAGGTGTATAGATCTTCAGGTCGTCCATATAAAGAATATGTCCGACCGATAGGTCCCCGTCAGAGGCCCGCCCCGATCCTGTCTTCGTATGATATGGACTTACATGAGAACGGATCCAAAAGGAGACGGGGGCTATGG